ATGTCTTGGCCATTTTGGAAGTCTCCTTCCCTAGCTGGCTAAACAGCGGGCACTTTCCCAGCACTGGTGCTGCCGCACAGCCAAGGCACTCTCCAGTAGCCCTTAAATGGGTGTGACAGAGGGCTTGCCTGAGGGCCATTTTTTTTAAACTTTATTTTAAAGACGGGGTTTCATCATGTTGGTCAGGCTGATCTTGAACTCCTGACCTCAGGTAATCTGCCTGCCTTGGCCTCCAAAGTGCTTGGATTACAGGCGTGAGCCACCACGCCCGGCCGAAGGTAATTTCTTTCACAGTGTCACCCCAGGTTCACACTTCTGACCTTAGAGGCATTAGTAAAAGAATTAGAATCACCTATGAATAACTAAGATCGCATATGAATCATAACTACTATGGTTGTATTTCTAGTTACTTTCTTCTTCATTATTTATGTGGAAATAGGCTGAGGCTTCTGGCTCACCCCCTGCAGGAAGAGTGTACACGTGCTCCAGTGGGAGGTGTAGGGCAAGTGCTTAAGGATTTGTGGACAGCCCCTGCTCACATGCAAGGAACCATAGATAAGACAGAAATCTTAGCAGCATCCGGGAACGAGTTTAATCAGAGGTAAGCATGGTAGGACTAGGCATGAGGGCTCACATCTGTAATATCAGCACTTTGGGAGGCCAGACAGGAAGGTCGCTTGAGCCCAGGCATTTGAGACCAGCCTGAGCAACGTAACAAGACACTGTCTCTACAAAAAAAGTTTTAGGCCGGGTGTGGTGGCTGATGCCTGTAATCCCAGCACTTTGGGAAGCTGAGACGGGCCCCTCACTTGCGGCCAGGAGTTCAAGACTAGCCTGGGCAACATATTGAAACCCCATCTCTACTAAAAAATAAAATAAAATAAAAAATTGCCAAAAAACTTAGCTGGGCATGGTGGTACGTGCCTGTAATCCCAGCTACTTGGGAGGCTGAGGCAGGAGAACCGCTTGAACCTGGGAGGCGGATGTTGCAGTGAGCCAAGATTGTGCCACTGCACTGCAGCCTGGATGACAGAACAAGACTCTGTCTCAAAAAAAAAAAATTATTTCTAAATTTTCGAACCCTCTATGTTACATTTTGTGAGATTATTAGTTATCGTTTCAGACACGTTCGAGATATGCACAAACTGACTGGAGGTACAAAAATGTATTTTTGTAGTGTATACTTATGTAAACAACTTAGAAACTGAATCTGTTAAGATACTACAAACAGCTCTGAGATTAACTCCCAAGTTCCACACACGTAAGGTCTGATGAGGTGTCAAAGAGAAATTGCACCCAGACACTTCTCTGACATGGCAAGGAAGACTTTATTCAAGGCTATAGCAAAAGGGGAGTGGTTGAACTCTGAATGCAGGGGGGATGTCTGGGGGCTTTTGTCCACAGGCAGGATGAGGGAGAGGACAGAAAACTACCAAAAGAAATATGGTTATCTACCAAGGATGGGTGAAAAGGAGCTGAACTGGATGTTAAGGGTGGAGGGAGGATTCTGCTAAACTGGCTTTAGCTTGCTTCTTGCTAAAAATGAGCTCAGTAGGCCAAGGATAGCAATAAGGCCTAGTCTAGAAGACAAATGTGACTAAAGTTTGGTCATGGAGTCTTTTTTAGAGGAATGCTGAGATGAATTTAGAAATGGACTCGACGGCCAGGTGCAGTGGCTAACACCTTTGGTCCCAGCACTTTGGGAGGCTAAGATGAAAGGATCACTTAAGGCCAGGAGTTAGAGGCTGCAGTGAGCCATATTTGCACCACTACCCCCATCCTGGATGACAGAATGAGACCCTCCCTCTATAAGAAAATTAAAAAGAAAGAAATGGACACAAATCTGGGAAAACTGGTCATTTTCCATATGACCAGTTTGTTTCTGTATGTCTGCAAGACATTAATGAATGCATTCCACCAGACACAATTTTGATTTATATGGACAGGCATTATCTGCATTACTCTCAAATATCTACAATTTAACTTTTATCTCCTAGGAGGTGTAAAATTTCTTAGTAAATGACAAATGAAAGCTGAAATGGTCTGGATGGAGGAGCTGGTCAGGGCATCTGCTCAGTTCTAAAGACTCACTGTCAGGCTTGGTGGCTCCTGCCTGTAATCCCAGCACTTTGGGAGACCGAGGCGGGCAGATCGCCTGAGGTCAGGAGTTTGAGACCAGCCTGGCCAATGTGGTGAAACCCTGTCTGTACAAAAAATGCAAAAATTAGCTGGGCTGGTGGTGGGCGACTATAATCACAGCTACTTGGGAGGCTAAGGCAGGAGAACCACTTGAACCTGGGAGGCGGAGGTTGCAGTGAGCCAAGATTGGGCCACTGCACTCCAGCCTGGGTGACACTTCATCTCAAAAAAAAAAAGACTTGCACAGACTGGGAATGGGGTTTACACCTCTATTCTCAGCACTTTGGGAAGCCAAGGTGGCCAGATCACTTGAGGTTAGGATTTTGAGACCAGTCTGGCCAACACGGCAAAACCCTGTCTCTATGAAAAATACAAAAATTAGAGGATGTGGTGGCTCATGCCTGTAGTCCCAACTGCTCGGGAGGCTGAGGCATGAGAAGGCTTGAGCTCGGGAGGCAAAGCTTGCAGTGAACCAAGATCACGTACCACTGCACTCCAGGCTGGGCGACTGAGCGAGACTCTGTCTCATAAATAAATAAATACTTTCATAATTTTATACCTGCTGTGGCTCCAGAATAGACCTAACTAGAGAAGCCAGTGAACTCATTCCACGTTCAGCCAATTATACCAGCAGCTTAACAGAGTTACTCAGATATTTATACAATCCTATTTGAACAACAAAATACTCTGTGTATGTCTCTAGTCATACAATAATTGAATGAGGAACAACCAATAGTCTCAGCCAACACCTTGATTTTATTATTTATTTATTTTGAGATGGAGTTTTGCTCTTGTTTCCCAGGCTGGAGTGCAATGGCGCTATCTCAGCTCACCGCAGCCTCCGCCTCCCAAGTTCAAGTGATTCTCCTGCCACAGCCTCCTGAGTAGGTGGGATGGCTAATTTTGTATTTTTGGTAGAGACGAGGTTTCTCCATGTTGGTTAGGCTGATTTCAGACTCCTGACCTCAGGTGATCGGCCTGCCTCAGTTTCCCAAAGCGCCTGGCAACACCTTGATTTTAGTAGGGAATCAAGGACTGCAGAAAATGTGAACTAATAAATGGGTGTGACTTAGACTGCTAGGCTTGTGATAGTTTGCTAGGCAGAAATAGAAAACCAACACACAGGTGGGTAGAGAAGCCACTAGACTAGAAGATTCTCAGCATTCTATTTTCTGACATGAGCTGCCTAATATATAAAAAAATGTATATTAATCAATTATGTCCATTTATTTATTTATTTTTATTTTTTTTGTTTGAGATGGAGTTTCGCTGTTGTTACCCAGACTGGAGTGCAATGGCGCGATCTCGGCTCACTGCAACCTCCGCCTCCTGGGTTCAAGCAATTCTCCTGCCTCAGCCTCCTGAGTAGCTGGGACTACAGGTGCACACCACCATGCCCAGCTAATTTTTGTATTTTTAGTAGAGACGGGGTTTCACCTTGTTGACCAGGATGGTCTCGATCTCTTGACCTCGTGATCCACCTGCCTCAGCCTCCCAAAGTGCTGGGATTAGAGGTGTGAGCCACTGCACCTGGCTTATTTATTTATTTTTTAAGAGACAAGGTCTCACTCTGTCACCCAGGCTGGAGTGCAATGGTGCAATCACAGCTCACTACAGCCTTGGACTCCTGGTCTCAAGCAATCCTCCCACCTGGATCCCAAGGAGCTGTGACTACAGGTACATGCCACTACGTCCAGTGAATTTTTGGATACAATTTTTTTAGAAGGCCAGGCACAGTGACTCACACCTATAATCCTAGCAGGCAGGTGGCATGTGCCTGTATTTGAGCTACCCAGGAGACCGAGGCAGGAGAATCGCTGGAACTCAGGAGGCAGAGGCTGCAGTAAGCCAAGATCATGCCACTGTACTTTAGCCTGGGCGACAGAGGACAACTCCATCTCAAAATAAACAAATAAATAATAAAATAAAATATTTTTTTGTAGAGACAGAGTTTCACCATGTCACTCAGGCTGGTCTCAAACTCCTGGGCTCAAGCCTTCCTCCCATCTCGGCCTCCCAAAGCACTGGAATTACAGGCATGAGTGACCTGTCCAGTCGACAGCCTATTTCTTTTTGCCTATTTCATGTTGCCTAGGCTGTAGGGCAGTGGCATGATCACGGCTCACTGCAGCATCGAATTCCGGAGTTCAAGCTGATCCTCCCATCTCATCCTCCAAACATGCTGAGATAACAGGCAGTGTGCCCATCCTGTTGGTGTTTTACAGTCATCCCTCATATCCATGGGGGCTGGGTTCCAGGACCTCCCATGGATACCAGAATCCACAGATGCTCAAGTTCCTGATACATGTTGTATTTGCATATAAATTATATACATCTTCCATCACACTTTAAATATCTTTGGATTACTTACAATGCCTAATGCAGTGTAAATGCTCTGTAAATAAGTTATACTGTATTTTTTAGGAAATGCTTAATAACAAAAGAAAATATACGTCATCACAAATGAACTTTTTCTCTGAACATTTTCTTTTCTTTTCTTTTTTTTTGAGACAGTGTCTCTGTTTTTCACCCAGAGTAGAGTGCAGTGGTGCGATCTCAGTTCACTGCAACCCCTGCTTCCTGGGTTCAAGCAATTCTTCTGCATCAGCCTCCTGAGTAGCTGGGACCACAGGTGCGTGCCACCACACCTGGCTAATTTTTATATTTTTAGTAGAGACAGGGTTTTACCATGTTGGCCAGGCTGGTCTCAAAATCCTTACCTCAAGTGATTCACCCGCCTTGGCCTCCCAAAGTGCTGGAATTATAGGCATGAGCCACTGCACCTGGCCTTTTTTTTTTTTTTTTAAGACATATTCTCACTGTGTCACCCAGACTGGAGTGCAGTGGTGCGATCTCAGCTCACAGTAACCTCCACCTCTTGGGTTCAAGTGATTCTCATGCCTCAGACTCCCAAGTAAGTGGAAATACAGCTATGCACCACCATGCCCAGCTAATTTTTGTATTTTTAGTAGAGATAGACTTCTGCTATGTTGGCCAGGCTGGTATTGAACTCCTGGCCTCAAGTAATCTTCCAACCTTGACGTCCTAAAGTGTCAGGATTACAGGTGTGCACCATCATTCCTGGCCCTTTTTTCTTGACCATCTTCCAAGTGAAGTTGGTGGAAATCACCAATGGGGAACTATGCATGCAGAGGGCTGACTGTAATTGAGTTCTTTCTGCCTCCTCACTAATCTGCACACTGCAGGCAGGGACCTGGTGTCATCCATGCCTGCAGCTGCAAGCACTGCCCACTTACACTGAAGTCTCCCCATTGGTCAGCTTGGTTCCGTGAAGGAACTCCATTTCCACAGCAAGGACTGACCTCACACTGGTGGCTCCAGGTCACTGCTCAAACATTCTGAAGGGAGCAGAACTTCTTGGTTCCTCAGATAAATATAGGGCAAAAGCTGAACTGTAGCTAAGTATTTCCTTCATCCATAGGATAAAGTACTGACAATTTGTGAGTGATGGACAAGGTGCAGAGTGGTTTCCTCTTTTTCTTTTTGTTTTTAATGGAATGCCCACTTCATTTATGCTTGCTGTATGCAGATGGACTCCATCCAGCTGGAAACATAACAGGCTTACCAGGTAGCTTCAACCATTGGTTTTACTTGACTCAGGAGGACTGAAAAGCTGTTTCAGGGGAAATTTTAAAAGGGTAATTACAGTTCACCTCAAAAAGTTTTCTTTTCAAGGCAATAAACAGTCACAACCACCCAGAAACATCACCAGAGAACCCAAAGTGTTCTTTCGTAAAACCCAATTTTCTGGGATTCAAGGGGCTGCCTCCAGATCGATGGGTGAGTCATTGAATTTCTCATTCAGTGAGGTGAGAATTGTAGCCTGGGGTCCTTTTGTCTGCTGCGTGAATGTGTACTATGTGCTTGCTGGTAGAAAGATCCATAAAATGTAGTATAATTAGGTAAACATTTGCTTGGAATTTAGATCTTACACTCTTCACTCTCTGTTAGGTTGTGCTTTCTCTTTAGGGATTGTGACTTTCTTCTCCTTCATTTCACTTTAATTATCACACACAAAACCCTTGATCCCATCCTGATTATGTATATGTGTTTGTTTGACTTGAGTTGTAACTTGATGGATGTTTTGGTGAATCATAAGATGAAAGCCACTTCCCCTTCAGCTGCCAACACAGCAGGTGTTGTCACACAGAGTCAGGGACCCAGTGTCTCTACAGAGCAGAGGGGAGGGCTCTGACCCAGGATGGGAGGTAAACTTGAGTCAGGGATCGTTGGGAATGAAAACTATATTTGTTCACATAGGCTGTGAGATCTAACTTCAGTATTTTCTAAAATTAAGAATGCTCGTCTGAGCAACATGGCGAAACCCCATCTCTTCAACAACACACACAAAAATAGGAGGTTATAGTGGCACATGCCTGTGGTGCCAGCTACTTGGGAGGCTGAGGCAGAATAGCTTGAACCTGGGAGGCAGAAGTTGCAGTGAGCTGTGGTCGTGCACTGCACTCCAGCCTGGGTGACAGAGTGAGACTCTGTCAAAAAGAAACAAAGAAAGAAAGAAAGAAGCTATTTATAAAAGTGTTTCTGGTTTTGAATTTTATTCCCCTCTGTAAAGACAAATATGTTAACTGAAAGACAGCTAAAATGAAAATTTTTGAGCACTTCTTTTCTTTCCATTTTTAGCAATGATTCAGCATAGACCTGCTCTTGTTAAAGTAATTTTGATTTCAAGTGTAGCCTTCAGCATTGCCCTGATATGTGGGATGGCAATATCCTGTATGATATAGTAAGTATCTGCTTAATAACATCTACTATCCTTAAATAAGACATAACAAGTCAACTGACGATTATTTAATGTCAAAGGATGACGATGATATTTCTTATAATTGCTTAATTATTATAGTGAATACAAATTTCCAGATTAGTGTTTTTCAGATTGTGGATTGTACTCATGTTGAGTCATGATACATATACAAAAAAAAAAAAAGAAACAGGACAGAATACAATTCAGCAGAATAGAAAATATCAGAAAACATTACTTAAACTATTAACGTAAAAGACTGATGTTTAAACTTTTCAAACACACTTGTGAGACAGGCACACACACACAGAGACACACAGTTGTGAAATAAAATATATTTCTTACTGGGAGTTATGGTCAAAAATGTTTGAAAGACACAGTTTGAGATGCTGGCATCCTCCCAAAATTCAGTGTTTTATTTTATTTTATTTTACTTTTTGTATTTTACTAGAGACTGGGTTTTGCCATGTTGCCAGGCTGGTCTTGAGCTCCTGGCCTCAAGTAATCCACCCGCTTTGGCCTCCCAAAATGCTGTGATTACGGGTGTGAGCCATCATTCCCAGCCCCCCAAACATGGCCTCCCAAAGTGCTGGGATTATGGGTGTAAGCCACCATTCCCCCAGAATTCGGTATTTTAAAATGAACTTGAGGCCAGGTGATGTGGCTCATGTCTGTAATCCCAGCACTCTAAGAGACCTGAGGTTAGGAGTTTGAGACCAGCCTGGCCAATGTAGTGAAACCCCGTCTCTACTAAAAATACAAAAATTAGCTGGTCGTGGTGGCAGGCGCCTGTAATCTCAGCTAGTCAGGAGGCTGAGACAGGAGAATTGCTTGAACCCAGGAGGTGGAGGTTGCAGTGGGCAGAAATTGTGCCCTTGCACTCCAGCCTGGGCGGGAAGCAAAAACTCTGTCTTAAATAAATAAAAATAAAATGAACTTGCTACTTTGGAGGGAATCTCCATAGTACACAGCAGAAAAGAGCTATCACACTCCCTTTTACTAGAAATGTATCAGTGCAGTCTGGGGTAATAGCAGCTTTGGGGGAAGATACATCACCATCTTCGCAAATAAAGCTTTGGGTCAAGCTCTTTCAAGTGATATAATCGTTTTGAAATTCACAGTAGAAAAGGGTGAGACAGACTGTGACCTCATGCTGTTCTGACCAAACCAACAGACTCTGACTCCTACTTTATGATTCCATGCTAGGATTCCATTCTATCCTACCAGAAACAGCTTGAGAAGTACATGATTGCTGGCTTCATTAGAATTAAGTATGAAAACAGGAGACATATTGCCATGTGTGGGATATTTTTGGGGGTAGCTATGTTAAGACCACCTTAGAGTAGGTCACATGAAGGCAAAGTGAGATGAAACGTAATGGGAAAAATTTTGGTAATGAGAGTGTAACCTGCGTGCTTGCTTATGGGTTATCTCCACTACATCGACTTAATTTATGTACCTGTATAGGCCGGAGGCAGTGGCTCACGCCTGTAATCCCAACACTTTGGGAGGCCAAGATGGGGGTGGATCCCTTAAGCTCAGGTATTTGAGATCAGCCTGAGCAACATGGTGAAACCCTGTCTGTACAAAAAAATACAGAAATTAGCCAGGTGTGGTGGCATGCACCTGTAGTCCCAGCTACTCAAGAGGCTGAGGTGGGTGGATGGCTTGAGCCCAGGAAGTGGTGGTTGCAGTGATCTGAGATCATGCGACTGCACTGTAGCCTGGGAGACAGAGCAAGACCTGTCTCAAAAAAAAAAAAATTATGTTACTGTAGCTTCTGTATAATTTCATTATTATAGACAAAAATATTAATAAATATAAAGTTTTCTAAGACAATTCAGTAAAACATATCTCCTGGACACTCAGTGTTCAATTGAGTTTTTGAGCTGTTCAATTCTTACTGTTTTCACATTTGTATTAGCACTAAGCTATAGTAAAGCCTGAGGCCAAAACAAAACCACCTGTTCAGAAGTAAAGTTTTATGTAATTTTTAGTGGTTCATTTTTTCCAGAAGTAGATTTTGAAAGAAACCTCGTCTCTACTAAAAATGCAAAAAATTAGCCAGGCGTGGTGTTGCGCACCTGTAATCCCAGGTACTTGGGAGCCTGAGGCAGGAGAATTGCTTGCACCCGGGAGGCAGAGGTTGCAGTGAGCCAGGATCATGCCACTGCACTCCAGCCTGGGCAACAGAGTGAGACTCCATCTAGAAGAAAGAAAGAGATGATTTGTCTTGATTATGGTTTTTCGTCAACATCTTAAGTTTTGAACCCAGTGCGAGTGCCTTGTTGACTTCTAGTCCTGGCTTTGATCCATGCTTTGGGATTATCAGAGTTACTCCTCACTACAGGAAACGGCCTGACCATACAGACATTTGAGATCTGACCACGATTAGTCTGGTTTCAAAGTCTTATTCCTGCACCCACCGCACAAGCAACTCCTTTCCAGTCAAAATGTGGCATGATTACGAAATGAATTATTCGCCATGAAAACTGTGCTTCTAAATTAATTTATACCATTCTCCAGTCAACTGGCACAGGCTGAGGAAAGACAGCAGCTTGAGTCACTTTACAAGAACATCAGGATACCATTATTAGGAGACAAAGAAGAGGGCTCAGAGAACGAGGATGAGTCTATGCACCTACTTCCAGAGAATGAAAAGGAGCTGGAGAAGTTCATCCACTCAGGTAGAGTGACCCGTCAGAGCCACTCACAGGAAAGCCAGGCTGGCTGCAGTGGCTTAGTTTTCACAGGGCAAGATAAGTGGGAGTTAGGAGAGTTTGAAGTAAAGGAGACAAATATTCACAGCCACACTTACAGAAATGAACCTTTCTCATCAAATCATACAGATGGGTAAACAGCTGTGGGGTTGCTCAACTCCTTTTGCAGGGCAATGCCATGGATCTAACAGAGTTCAGGAAACAAACTTTTCCCAGCACAAAACATTTCCCTTAAACACACTCATTACCATGATGTTATCCTGCATTCAGAACACAGGCAGGGCCGGGCGTGGTGGCTCACGCCTCTAATCCCAGCACTTTGGGAGGCCGAGGCGGGTGGATCACGAGGTCAAGAGATCGAGACCATCCTGGTCAACAAGGTGAAACCCCGTCTCTACTAAAAATACAAAAAATTAGCTGGGCATGGTGGCGCGTGCCTGTGATCCCAGCTACTCGGGAGGCTGAGGCAGGAGAATTGCCTGAACCGAGGAGGCGGAGGTTGCGGTGAGCCGAGATCGCGCCATTGCACTCCAGCCTGGGTAACAAGAGAGAAACTCCGTCTCAAAAAAAAAAAAAAAGAACACAGGCAGAAGTTTCACCTGCATCATCTGTCTCCATCTGATGTGAAAATGGGATCCAGACCCACAAAATAGAGGCCATTACCCCAGGGTAAAAGTTCCCCGCATGCCATGCCTACCACAGACATGTTCTGTTGTCCTTGTGAGAAGAGGGTGACACTGCTCATTTAAAACTGATTTTTTTTAAGACAGAGTCTCGCTCTGTCACCCAGGCTGAAGTACAATGGTACAATTGTGACTTACCACAATCTCTGCCTCCTGAGTTCAAGCAATTCTCATGCTTCAGCCTCCCTGGTAGCCGGCACTACAGGCGTGTGCCACCACGTCTAGCTAATTATTTATGTTTTTAGTAGAGACAGGTTTTTACTATGTTGGCCAGGCTGGTCTCAAACTCCTGACCTCAGGTGATCCACCTGCCTCAGCCACCCAAAGTGCTGGGATTACAGGCATGAGCCACCCACCTTGCCTGGCCTTAAAACTGATTTTATAGAAGTTCTTTTTTTTTTTTTTTTGAAATGGAGTCTCCCTATGTTGCCCAGGCTAGAGTGCAGTGGCAAAATCGCAGCTCACTGCAACCTCCACCTCCTGGGTCCAGGTGATTCTCCTGCCTCAGACTTCCAAGAAGCTGGGATGACAAGCATGTGCCATGACTCCTGGCTAATTTTTGTATTTGTAGTAGACATGGGGTTTGACCAGTTAGCTAGGCTGGTCTTGAACACCTGACCTCAACTGATTCACCTGCCTCAGCCTCCCAAAGTGTTAGGATTACAGGCGTGAGCCACTGCTCCTGGTCTTTTTTTTTTTTTTTTGAGATAGAGTCTCGCTATGTCACCCAGGCTGGAGTGCAGTGGTGTGATCTTGGTTCACTGCAGCCTCAACTTCCTGGGCTCAGTCAATCCTCCTACCTCAACCTCCTCAGTTGCTGGGACTACAGGTGCACATCAGTATGCCCGGCTAATTTTTTTTTTTTTTTTTGAGATGGAGTCTCACTTTGTTGCCCAGGCTGGAGTGCAGTGGCGCCATCTTGGTTCCCTGCAACCTCTGCCTCCTGGATTCAAGCGATTCTCGTGCCTCAGCTCCCCGCTTCCCCAGTAGCTGGGATTACAGGCACACACCACCACATCTGGCTCAGTTTTGTATTTTTAATAGAGACCGGGTGTCACCATGTTGGCCAGGCTGGTCTTGAACTCCTGACCTCAAGTGATCCACCTGCCTCAGCCTCCCAAAATGTTGGGATTACAAGTGTGAGCCTCTGCACCCAGCTAATTTTTGTGTTTTTGGTAGAGATTGTTTTCACCATGTTGCCCAGGTTGATCTTGAACTCCTGACCTCAAGTGATCCACCTGCCTCAGCCTTCCAAAGTGATAGAATTACAGTTTCGAGCAACCGCGTCCAGCTAATTTTTACATTTTTCATAGAGACGGTTTTCGCCATGTTGCCCAGGTTGGTCTCAAAATCCTTGGCTCAAGAGATCTTCTCATCTTGACCTCCCAAAGTGCTGGGATTACAGGTGTCAACCACTGAGCCCTGCCTAGAAGTTCTGAGATTCTTGGGTAACTGTTTAAAAAAGTCTAGAGAGAAACCTATGGAGAGTTCAGTATCTGATTCAGTCCTACTAACCATCCCTCACATGCACTTTCTCTCTAAAAACTCCAGACGTAACACTTTGGGAGGCTGAGGCAAGCAGATCACGAGGTCAGGAGTTCAAGACCAGCCTGAACAACATGATAAAACCCCATCTCTACTAAAAATAGAAAAAAAGCTAGGCATGGTGGCACTTGCCTATAATCCCAGCTACTCAGGAGGCTGAGGCAGGAGAATCGCTTGAAACTGGGAGTCGGAGGTTGCAGTCAGCTGAGATTGCACCACTGCACTCCAGCCTGGGTGACAGAGTGAGACTCTATCTCAAAAAAAAAAAAAAAAAAAAAAAATCCAAAAACTCCAGACCTAAGCAGAAAGAGGCAGAATGACCAGAGCAGGAGAGATCATTGATGCTCACTGAGGCAGACAGCTTTGTCATAACCTGTAGAAAATATTTTTCTGGGCCAGGCACAGTGGCTCACACCTGTAATCCCAGTACTTTGAGAGGCCGAGGCAGTTGGATCACTTGAGGTCAGGAGTTGAAGACCAACCTGGGATACATGTCAAAAACCATCTCTACCAAAAATACAAAAATTACCTGGGCACGGTGGCTCACACCTGTAATCCCAACACTTTGGGAGGCCAAGGTAGGCAGATCACTTGAGGTCAGGAGTTCAAGACCAGCCTGGCCAATATGGTGACACCCCGTCTCTAGTGAAAATACAAAACTGAGCCAGATGTGGTGGCACATGCCTGTAATCCCAGCTACTGGGGTGACTGAGGCACAAGAATTGCTTGAACCTAGGAGGCAGAGGTTTCAGGGAACCGAGATGGCGCCACTGCACTCCAGCCTGGGTGACAGAGTGAGACTCCGTGTCAAAAAAAAATTAGCCTGGCATAGTGATGTGCACCTGTAGTCCCAGCAGCTGAGGAGGTTGAGGTGGGAGGATTGACTGAGCCCAGGAAGTTGAGGCTGCAGTGAACGAAGATCACACCTCTTGCACTGCAACGGATCACAAGGTCAAGAGATTGAGACCATCCTGGCCAACATGGTGAAACCTCTACTAAAAATATAAAAATTAGCCAGGTGTGTTGGCAGACACCTGTAGTCCCAGCTGCTCGGGAGGCTGAGGCAGGAGAATCACTTGAACCCAGAAGGCGGAGGTTGCAGTGACAGTGAGCTGAGATCATGCCACTGAACTCCAGCCTGGCAACAGAGCAAGACTCTGTCTCAAAAAAAAAAAGAAAGAAAATATTTTGCCAATGTCTTTTTCCCTTATTGGATTATAACCTTTCTACATTCTCCTTTTACCAGGCATTTATACAACTTGAATACACAATGTGGAAAAATAATTTTAAAATTTAATTTTCACCATCTTCATCAGACAAATAACAATCATTATGAAGCCCCAGAAAATTCCACCATTGGTATCTCTATTTTTCCAGGCTTTTCTCTTCATCTCTTTTGTCTCCATTTTTATTCCCCACTTATTACTATCTCAGTAACATCGTTTCTACATTTTAGTTATTAGATCAAAAAGCAGGAAAAATATTAAGAAGAAACTGAGTGAAGAGCGAAACTGAGAAAGAGGAAAAACGACAAAGAATGGGACACACAATGGAAAAGTAGACGACTTGTGAATGCAGATGACAGAGGTGCTAGCTGAGGCCTCGGAGGAAAAACGGGGGGTGGCGGGAGAGAGCACGTGGCGTGGCTTGCTCCCAGAGAACCTTGTAGAAGAGGAGATCGACGAAAGAAACACCAGATGTGTGTCCCAGAAAATAAAGCCAGATCATATAGCAACTCTTGCTTATTGACTCTCATGGTTCATGAATAATTATAACAATTGGAAAATAGAAAAAAATCCAACTCTGTTAAGGATGAAAGAGACATTGTCAGGACTTTCTTTTCTTGCTCCTGACCAGAAATAATGCACAAGTAATTTTGGGAGGCTATCTTCCAGACCATGCCAGGGGAAAGCTTTCACGAAGCACAACCTTCCTGGTGAGATTACCTGTGAGTTCCATACCTTGTCTACGTTGTACACATGAGGAAACTGAGGATGTCGAAATAAATGTGACACCGGATTCAAACACACTCATTGTTAGCCAGGTGTGGTGGCAGGCACCTGTAATCCAAGTTACTCAGGAGGCTGAGGCAGGAAAATTGCTTGAACCCAGGAGTCGGGAGGTTGCAGTGAGCCGAGATTGCGCCACTGCACTCCAGCCTAGTTGACAGAGTGAGACCTTGTCAAAGAAAGAAAGAAAGAAAAAGGGGCGGGGGAGGGAAGGAAGAAAGAAAGGGAGGAAGGGAGGGAGGGAGAAAACACACTCATTCAGGCCAGACACAATGGCTCATGCCAGTAATCCCAACACTTTTGGGAGCATGAGACAGATGGATTGCTTGAATCCAGGAGTTCAAGACCAGTGTGAACAACATAGTGAGACCCTGTCTGCAGAAAAAAATAAATACACACTGATTGCTGTCAGCTTCCAGCTCTCTTGAGGGAAACAGGCCTATAGGCAAGGAGCTGACAAACACAGCCAGAAGTAGCAAGTGGACACCAAGGGCTGTGGGAATGCAAAGGCAAGATTGAATGAAATGGTGCAGCTGCTTTGGAAAACAATCTGGCGGTTCCCCAGAAAGTTAACATAGTGTTACTATATGCCCAGCAAATCCACTCCTAGGTATACATGCAAGAGAATTGAAAGCACATGTACACACAAAAACCTGCACACTAATGTTCTTAGCAGCATTATTTATAAGAGCCAAAAAGTGGAAACAACCCAAATGTCCATTAACCAATAAGTGCATCAACAAAATGTGGTCTATCTGTACAGTTAAATATTTTTCAGGAACAAAAAAGAATGGAGTACTTATGCACGCTACAATATAAACAAACTCGAAAACATTATGCTAGAAGCAAAAAGCCAGACACATATTGTGTGATTCTGTTCTTACCAAATGTCCAGAATAGGCAACTGCATAGATGCAGAATGTAGATTGGTGATTCCAGGAGCTGGGGCAGTTGAGAGGGGGAAGACTGTTTGTGAGTATGACGTTTCTTTACGGGGAATGAAAATGTTAGAGGCCGGGCACAGTGGCTCATGCCTGTGATCTCAGCACTTTAGGAAGCTGAGGCAGGTGAATTGCTTGAACTCAGGAGTTTGAGACCAGCCTGGGCAACATAGCAAAACCCTGTCTCACAAAAAATACAAAACTTATTTGGGCATAGAGGCATGCGCCTGTAGTCTCAGCTGCTTGGGAGGCTGAGGTGAGAAAGGATGGCTTGAACCCAGGAGGCAGAGGTTGCAGGGAGCCAAGATTCTGCCACTGCCCTCTAGCCTGGGCAAGAGAGCCAGACTTCGTCTCGAAAAGAAAAAAGGGCCAGATGTGGTGGCTCACACCTGTAATCCCAGCACTTTGGGAGGCCAAGGCAGGTGGATACTAAGGTCAGTTCAAGATCAGCCTGGCCAAGATGATGAAATCCCATTTCTACTAAAAATACAAAAATTAGCTGGGCGTGGTGGTGGGCACCTGTAATCCCAGATACTCGGGAGACTGAGACAGAGAATCGCTTGAATCCAAGAGGCAGAGGATGCAGTGAGCCAAGATCTCGCCACTGCAGCCCGGGTGACAGAGCGAGACTCTGTCTCAAAAAGAAATAAAAAATAAAAATACCTAAGAATGGCTATTATTTTTTCCACATTTATTGAGGTTTGACTAATAAAAATTGAATATATTTATGATGTACAATTTGATGTTTTGAAATACATGTACACTATGCCATGACTACTGCAAACCAGCTCATTCATCTGTCCATCACCTCACATAGATATCTTTTTTGTGTGTGTGATGAGAACATTTAAGGTCTACTCTCCTAAGGATATAATAGTAATTTTTCTTCTTTGGAGATAATGTCTTGTTTTGTTCCCCAGGCTGGAGTGCAGTGGTACAGTCACAGCTCATTGCAGCCTCAAATTTCCAGGCTTAAGCAATATTCCCACCTTAACTTACTGAGTAGTTGGGACTACAGATGCACCTAACCACCTCACCCCACTAATTTCTGTTTTTTTTTGTGTGTGTTTTTTATTATCAATTTTTTTTTGAGATGGAGTCTTTTCTTTCGCCCAGGCTGGAGTGCAGTGGTGTGATCTTGGCTCACAACCTCCACCAGTTGGGTTCAAGCAATTCTCCTGTCTCAGCCTCCCAAGTAGTGGGGACTGCAGGTGCACACCACCATGCCTGGCTAATTTTTGTGTTTTTAGTAGAGATGGAGTTTCACTGTCTTGGTCAGGCTGGTCTTGAACTCCTGACCTCACATGATCCACCCTCTTGGCCTCCCAAAGTGCTGGAATTACAGGTGTGAGCCACTGTGCCCGGCCATGTGTGTGTTTTTAACTAATTTTTTTGAGACGGACTCTTACTCTGTCTGTCACTCAGGCTGGAGTGCACTGATGCCATTTCAGTCACTGCAACCTCTGCCTCCCAGGTTCTAGCAATTCTTGTGCTTCAGGCTCTTGAGTAGTTGGGATTACAGTTGCCCACCACCACGCCTGGCTAATTTTTATATTTTTAGTAGAATGGGATTTCACCATGTTGGTCAGGCTGGTGTCGAACTGCTGACCCCAAGTGATCTACCCATCTCAGCCTCCCAAAGTGCTGGGATTACAGGCGTGAGCTACCACACCTTGCTTCCTAATAATATTATTTTAAATAGGGAGTGATATGGTTTGGCTGTGTCCCCACCCAAATCTCATCTTGAACTGTAGTTCCAATAATCCCCATGTGTCATGAGAGGGACCCAGTGTGAGGTCATTGAATCATGGAGGCAGTTACCCCCATGCTGCTCTTCTTTTGAGAGTGAGTGAGTTCTCACAAGATCTGATGGTTTTATAAGGAGCTTTTCCCCCTTTTGCTCAGCACTTCTCCTTCCTGGCACCATGTGAAGGACGTGTTTACTTCCCCTCCTGCCACAACTGTAAGTTTCTTGAGGCCTCCCCAGCCCTGCTGAACTATGAGTCAATTAAACCTCTGTCCTTTATAAATGACCCCAGTCTTGGGTACATATTAGCAGAGTGAGAATGGATTAATACAGGGGGGTTCTGAAAGGACTCTAGTAAAGTGACATTTAACCAGTGACCTGAAAGGAGTAGGTAGCAAACATTCCATGCAGCTATTTGAGGACAAAGCAGTTGGAGCAGAGAGATCTGAAGTTGCTACTGGAAAGAGGTCCTGATCCTGGTCTCAAGAGAGGGTTCTTGGATCTCATTCAAGAAAAAATTCAGTGGCCGGGCCCGGTGGCTCACGCCTATAATCCCAGCACTTTGGGAGGCCGAGGCAGGTGGATCACGATGTCAAGAGATCGAGACCATCCTGGTCAACAAGGTGAAACCCTGTCTCTAATGAAAATACAAAAAATTAGCTGGGCATGGTGGCGCACGCCCATAGTCCCAGCTACTCAGGAGGCTGAGGCAGGAGAATTGCTTGAACCCAGGAGGTGGAGGTTGCGGTGAGCCGAGATCGCGCCATTGCACTCCAGCCTGGGTAACAAGAGCGAAACTCCGTCTCAAAAAAAAAAAAAAAAGAAAGAATTCAGAGCAAGTCCCCAGTGTAAAGTGAAAGTAAGTTTATTGAGCAAATAAAGGAATAAAAGAATGGCTACTTCATAAACAGAGCAGGGAATTCCTAAAAGAGGAGGAACATGCCCATCTTAGGTGCAGTGCTTGTTTATATATAAGGCAACAAAGCAAAAAATCATAAGGGAGGTGTGCTCTACTACAAGGGCTCCTGACCTTGATTAAAGGGTCGTTAATCTTGGTTTAACTACTGTCCTCCACAACCATCTCTATTATTATTATTAAAGCAAAACTTATTTTTAAACCAAGAATGCTTTTTCGGTCTTAAGATACTGAGACATCAGGACATTTCCTGGGTCTGTTAAATCCTGAGTCTGTTTGAAAAACATTATTAACCTGTTCCCTTAACTGAAAACATCTGGTGACAAGGAATGCCTAACCTGGGAATGCAGCCCAGCAGGTGTCAGCCTCATTTTACCCAGCCCCTATTCAAGATATAATGGAAACATTATAGTGCCGTTGTCGCCAGAGTGGTAAGATGGGTGTAAAGTTCTAGGAGAACAAAAATTGAGTGTTGGGTCAAACAAAGCCATGTAGGGTCATCGAAGCCACTGTAAGAGCAAAGGCTTTACTCACGGCGCAGAAAGCACTGGAGAGTTTGGAAAGGGAGGTGACCTGGCTGGACTGGGGATTTAAACACGTCCTTCTGGCTTGTGCTTGGACAATAGACAATCGTGAGTGAGGAATGGAAGAGGGAGACCATTTAGAGAAAATTGTAAGAACTCTGGCCGGGCGCGGTGGCTCAAGCCTGTAATCCCAGCACTTTGGGAGGCCGAGGCGGGTGGATCACGAGGTCAAGAGATCGAGACCATCCTGGTCAACATGGTGAAACCCCGTCTCTACTAAAAATACAAAAATTAGCTGGGCACGGTGGCGCGCGCCTGTAATCCCAGCTACTCGGGAGGCTGAGGCAGGAGAATTGCCTGAACCCAGGAGGCGGAGGTTGCGGTGAGCCGAGATTGCGCCATTGCACTCCAGCCTGAGTAACAAGAGCGAAACTGTCTCAAAAAAAGAAAGAAAGAAAGAAAGAAAATTGTAAGAACTCAGGTGCGAGATGATGGTAGTGTGGCCCGTAGCTGTCACATAGGTATTGATGACAACCAATTCGAATCTGGTTGAATTTTGAGTCTAGGACAAGCTGTGCTGAAAAATTGCATAGGAGGCCTCTGTAAGTCAAAAAAGACTCTAGCTGTATCAATGTTGTTAATACAGGCAGTGGGGAAAAATGTTAATTCCTGTCCCTGGAAAGCAGAACACAATTTGCTCACAGGCTCCACATGGGCATGCAGGAAAGGAGTGAAGCATGACTACTGGGTTGGCTACTGAGGGGGTCTGGGATAATGTTTGGACGAGTCTAGTCTGAAAGGCCGATTACACAAGCAGCTGGACATGCTGACACAGCTAATGGATCCCATCTGGGAAAGTGTGAGCTAGAAATAAGACCAGTGGATATATTTTGTGACTGAATGACTGTAATGATGTGCATTTGGAGCAACGGCCTCTGGGAACTCCCGAAAACAAGTAAATACTCTCAAACAGCAATCGGAAGAAACCTGGGTACGGCTCCTTTAAGAAAGAGCAAACGCCCGCCTCCGCTCGGAACCCGGAGTTGCAATTTTCCAGCGCCCCTAGCAGCGGTTTGGCCTTTACTTCCGGAAGGAGGTGGTGGCGGCCTCACTCTCTCGCCGTGCGCCTGCGGGAACTACAACATTACCCAGAATGACCTGCGTCGGGCGACGGCGACCTCCAGCCAATCAGGCCTCAGAAAGGTGGAGTTTGCGTAAGCGCAAGCGCGGTCGCGCCGGGATTTTCGTCGTCGTCGTCGTGGCGGTTGTTTTGGGGTTTGTCCGAATTGCTAACCCCCGGAGCGCTGGGTCAGCATCATTGGTGACTGATTGGGAAGGCGCGAGAGGAGTGTTTTTCGCTGCACTGAGGCGAGGCGTCGCTCCGGGTGCCCAGGCCCAGCCCAAAATAGAGACCCAATCTCTGGCCCCGCTCGGCCCGTAGAGTCCGATGGCTGCCGCCGAGCTGACGGCCCCGGCCCTGGTGAGTGCTGCGTCCTCAGGGCCTTCCCCGCCCTCCCCATCCGAGTCCTAACACCCCGAGGACACCTGCTCGCGGCTCTGCAGCCCAGGACAGAACAGGGGGACTTGCCGGAGGTGCTCCCGTTTCCGACACCTGGTGTGCTAGGGAAGGGAGAGCGCGACGGGGAAGGAGCCGCTGAGGGAGGCGCCACCGAGCCCCGGGGCACAGAGGTGATGCAGCCAGTACGAGGGCGCTCAACTCCGAGGCCAGGCACGGGGTTACAGGGAGGCCTGAGCCCGTGTAACGCCGCCGTAGATGAGTTTCTCTGAGGCCTGGCTCTTTCCACGGCTCCCTTGTCTGTAGAGGGGGGTTATGAAACCTACGCCAAGAAGGGGAGGGTTTCCCGGTCTCTCTCTGGCCTTAACTTACCCCCACAGGTTCTCTGGGTTGTGGTGGTCCTGGACTCTCAAGTGGCATTCTCCCAGTCCTTAGTTCTGAAGACTGTGGGTGAACCCCAAGCCCGGGGTAGAGTTGTTCCAATTTCTGGCAGCCAGCATGAACAGGTGTGGAAGATTGTTCCAGAAAGGTACAAGATGTGCAAATGCTTCGGTGTAATACGAAGGTAGGAACGATTATGAAGCCGCAAGTCTCCTTGCTTTCTGGTGAGTGCAGAGAACAGGAGGATAGGCGTTATCACCGCAGTGGCTGCTTGAGAAGTTGTGTGTGTTTTCAGGAGATAATAGCAAGTTTGAATCAGAAAAAATAGGTGATTTACCAAGGTCCTCACAGGCTTCATCTGTGTACACAGTGGGGCACAAACTGTGGGACTGACGGAGGAGGAAGGAAAGTCAGGGTGGCCTAGTCCTGATGAGGGTTACTGGCCCAGGATCGTGGTTAGGGAGATGTGGTTAGATTCTGGATGCATGGTTTCAAAAGGGACAACTAAATTATGTAATGTAGGTGGTAAGGGGTGAAACAGAGGATTCAGAGAAGACCCCAGAGTTGTTGGTATCATCAGCTGAAGGGAAAGAAGTTTCATCAACTAAGATGATGAACACACTGGCAATAGGAGTAATATTCACTAGGGATACCAGGTTTATTTGGGCCATGCTAAGTAAGAGTCAGATCTTTCTGACCCTACTAAATGGAGGTGTTAAGTGGGCAGATGAACACACAGGTCTTGAAATCTAGGGAGTGGTTCCAGATGTGGCTGTTGTGTGCCCCAAGTTGAGTGAGCTGTGGGTCACGTTAGGTTGGGCAAGCCCCAGGTTTTGGTTGTAAAACTGTTAGTGGGCCAAGACAGGGAGGATGATGATGGAGTAAGTAGTCATGAAGGCAGGGTATGTAAAAGACAGTGTAGTTTGGCAGGGGCCAGGGCTCCCAAATGAGGAATGGGTATGAGATGGATGCAAATGCATAGGACACTCAGGCTAGAACTTGTGCTTATTTGCTACTTTGTGGGTATCCAGGATTTTGTGATAACTTGATGGGGCCTGGGTGTTTCATTCAGGCCAGAAGATTAAGTTAGTGTCATATGGTCATTTGTGAGAGTCATTGTGTTTGAGATGGGAAACCAGTGAGGCTGGAATTTAAATGAGCTTTACGTGGATATATGACTGCCAAGGGGATGTTAAGTGCAGCACAGAAGTGGAATAGGCCCTGGTTATCCGTGATTCACCTTGGTTCTCTGTGGCTAAATCTGAGACAAGGAACCTGGCAGGGAGGCCTTCAAAGAAGTTTTTGAGGCTGTTTCCATTAGTGCAAGCCATGGGAAGTCTGGGATATTGGATCCTGTTTAAATCCACACTCTGGAAGCTGCCTACCAGGTTGTGGTGTAAAGCCAGAAATTAAGGCCCACTGTGATATGTCATCTTGACGTCTGATGAAAACACTACAGCCGCAGGTGGCCTGAGAGCAAATTCCCCTTCCCACTTTGCTCCCAAGAATAAGCTCTCTTAGCCAAATGAACCCTTCTTATTCAGGGAACCAGAATAGTTCCTGCTTATTACTTTGTAGCAGATTTCAGTACCCTACCAATTTTTTGAGTAATTCAAACAAGCCAGTCCCCTCATCTGGGGACCAGGGTAGCTCCTCCATCTTGATGCTACAAAGCTTACATTCCACAGCACCTGGTTGTTCACTCTTTTCTGGAGTACTACGTCCATATGGCTCTGTGTGGAGTGTGGTATTCTTTCACAAGCTATGAGCATTTGTCTTTAATTAATAAACTGTTGATCTCATTTGTCTAGTGTCAAGTGTCTCGTGTTTGGCCATTGGTTATCCACTGTAACCATTAGGTTATCCACTCTTTCACCCAGGTAGCATGTGGGGAGGCTAGGATTTAGCCTGTGGTATGGGACAGTGGTGGTCGTGGTCATGTGGCTGTGGGAGCTGGAGACCTGTGGTATGTGCAGTGTAACGAATGATACGCACTTGGAGAGGGAGCATGGCCCCACTGCCCCGGTTGAGACTTACATAATCTTGGTCATACCAGAGGAATGCTTGTCAGGGAGGCGTAGTTGCCCTTATGCCATGTCCACAGCTTAGATACATGTATTTTTTTCCCTGCCTCTTGTTACTGGTGGCTGCAGCCAGTGACCAAGAGGCCCATAAGGAGACAACAGCACCAGTGGACTGCTTTCTCCACTGAGCTGGGGAGCTTCAAAAGAAGATGAGCATTGGGTAAATGTGTGAGGGGATGGATTATGGATCCTGAGAGAAGGAGCCATTTGTGGTTTTCATCTGTCCCCATCCTGGCAGGGTATTGTGACCTTTGAGGACGTGGCTGTGTACTTCTCCTGGAAGGAATGGAGTCTCCTTGATGAGGCTCAGAAATGCCTGTACCACGATGTGATGCTGGAGAACTTGACACTTACAACCTCCCTGGGTAAGGTCCTCACACCCACCTCTGTACCCGGAGCTAGTCTCTGCTCTTACCCTTTCCTCAGGGACAGATATGTGCTCACAAGAGGACTATGGACACAGCTTCTGTTCCTGGTTGGGTGCTGCAGTTGGTAGGGCTAACGTTTTATGTTTACCTTTTCTCCTTGAGCAGACAACACCTGCTTCCCTTTCATGTGGAAGGATTCAGAGTCAGGCTTCTTAGAGTCGGCCTTATGGATCTCACCTTGTTTGCCTCTCCCTGGCCAGATCTGAGACTCCTGGAGGCCCAGGTTCTACTTCCTTCCTCTAGCTGACACTTCCTCATGCCTACCTCTGCCAGGAATCACTGACATTGTCACTACTTATGTGGACTATGAGTGCCTCTTGCAAAATCCTCCTCTGAATTTCTCTTTGTGTTATTTTTTCCTATGGGCTATCGTGTAGAGTCTTTCTGGGCTGGTCTTGCGTGCTTGCATATTTCAGGTTCCGTGTTCTTGATCATAGGGGTCAGGTGGACAGGCCCTGTGGTTCCAAGGAAGGCTATGATATCCCCCACAGCAGGATGGACTCAGAGGGAGCCTGGCCCTGAGGACTAACACCTAAAGGAGGACATTATATCAGGGTTATGTTCAAATCATACCAGAAACATATTCTGTTTGTCTAATGTTTTGGTGCTAATGACATTTGGGGCCAAACCTCATTACTGCCTTTTCATCCCCTTTCTTGACACTTCGCCTGCTTGTCAGCTCTGCACCTTGTTACTACTCCTCTTACTTCCAGCCTGGGATTAATCCCCACATCTCTGGATTCCATGTCTCACCCATTTTTCTCAGTGCTTTATCTTCAGTGCTCTCCAGTGGTGGCCTCTACATACTGTGTTATGAGGTGTCCACGTATGTCAGCTACTATTGTGTTGGCACATTTTCTTGGGCCTGGATACATACTTGTATACAATGCACATGTTAGCTGGAAAGCAGATTTCACTGAAAATTGTCCTAGAGGAATGAGTTGTACATCCTGCCTCTTCTCCGTGTTTCTCATCCCATAGTTGTGTCTTCTAACTCATGAGGCCTCCCCAGTTCTGTGATCTTTAGAGGCCCAATTCTGCTAGGCAGCCCTGTCTTCAACTTGAACCCAACACCTTGGTCCTGAAAACAACCCCATGGACTCAGTTCCTGGGTTTGTTGAATGCACATTTGTGTATGGGCTACACCCCCTCCATTAAAGTCAGCATGCTCTTCACCAACCTTTCCTTTCTTTCAGGTGGTTGTGGAACAGAGGATGAGGAGGCACCTTATCAGCAGAGCACTTCTCCACAGCGGGGGTCACAGGTTAGGATTCCTAAGGCCCTTCCTTCTCCCCAGAAGACCAACTCCTGTGAGATATGTGGCCCAGTCTTGAGAGAGATTTTGCACTTGGTTGAGTACCAGGGAACACACCATGGTCAGAAACTGTACACAGATGGGGCATGCAGGAAACAATTACAATTTACTGCATACCTTCATCAGCACCAGAAGGAGCATGTTGGACAGAAACACTTCAGAAGCAATGTGGGCAGAGACATGTTTTTGAACAGCTGCACATTTCAAGTATCTGGGAAGCCCTTCACTTGCAAGGAAGTTGGGAAGGATTTCCTGATGAGATCAAGATTTCTCCAGCAACAGGCTACTCACACCAGAAAGAAGTCAAACAGAACCAACAGTGCAGTCGCTTTTCACAGTGTAAAAAATCATAAAAACTGGGGAGAACGTATGAAAGCTTTCAGCTACAAACATGTACTTATTCAGCACCAGGGAGACCTCAGTAGGGAAAGATGTTACATGTGCAGTGAATGTGGGAAATCTTTTAGCACAAGCTGTGGCCTCAGTGATCATTTGAGAGTTCACACAGAAAACCCTTATACATGTGAGGAATGTGGGAAATCCTATAGGCAAAGCTCTAGCCTTATTACACACCGAAGAGTTCACACTGGAGTAAGACCTCATCAATGTGATGAATGTGGAAAATTATTTAGAAGGAAGTATGACCTTATTATACATCAGAGAGTTCATACTGGAGAAAGGCCTTACAAGTGCAGTGAATGTGGGAAATCCTTTAGCCATAGCTCTAGCCTCATTACACATCAGAGAATTCATACTGGAACGAGGCCTTATGAGTGCAGTGAGTGTGGCAAATCCTTTATCCATAGTTCTAGCCTTATTACTCACCAGAGAGTTCACACTGGTAAAAGGCCTTATATGTGCAGTGAATGTGGGAAATCCTTTAGCCAAAGTTGTCATCTCATTAAACACCGGAGACTTCACATTGGAGAAGGGCCTTATGAGTGTAGTGAATGTGGGAAATTGTTTACTTACAGATCTCGTTTCTTCCAACACCAGAGAGTTCATACTGGAGTAAGATCTCATGAATGTCATGAATGTGGAAAATTATTTAGCAGGAAATTTGACCTCATTGTTCATCAGAGAGTTCACACAGGCGAAAGGCCATATGAGTGCAGTGAATGTGGAAAATCCTTTACCTGTAAATCCTATCTCATTGCACATTGGAAAGTTCACACTGGGTCAAGGCCTTATGAATGTGGGGAATGTGGGAAATCATTTACCCATAGCTCTACACTCTTTCAACACCAGAGAGTTCACACTGGAGAAAGGCCTTACGAGTGCAAGGAATGTGGGAAATTTTTTAGCCAGAGCTCCAGCCTCATTAGACATAGGAGAAATCACACCGGAGAAAAGCCTTATGAGTGCAGTGAGTGTCAGAAATCCTTTAGTAACCGCTCTAGCCTTGTTAAACACCAAAGAATTCACACTGGAGAAAGGCCTTATGAATGTGGTGAATGTGGAAAATCCTTTAGCCAGAGCTCTAACCTCAGCAATCACCAGCGAGTTCACAGTGGGGAAAGGCCTTATGAGTGTAGTGACTGTGGAAAATCTTTTACCTTCAACTCCAATCTCCTAAAACACCAGAATGTTCACAAGGGATAAAGGTTAGGTAACACACGGAGGGCCGTCAGGGACGGAGAAGCGTCCCTGCAAAATTCATAGACAAAGATTAAATAAATAAATGTATGAATTTTCAATAACCATGCTTTATATTTAGTATATGTTCTCTGAATTTTGTTTTATACAAATACATTTATATGTGTACTTTGTCTCTCTTATATACACACATAAAAATAAATGGTTTCTTTTTAAAACATTTCTTTTTTTTTTTAACTTGCTCCCCTCCTTTATTTTTTGTTTTAACAGAGTCTCACTCTGTTGCCAGGCTGGAGTGCAGTGGCGCGATCTTGGCTCGCTGCAACCTCCGCCTCCTGGTTTCAGATGATTCTCCTGCTTCAGCCTCCCACATAGCTGGGATTACAGGTACGCGCTGCCATGCCAGGCCAATTTTTTGTGTTTTTAATGGAGACAGAGTTTCACTACATTGGCCAGGCTGGTCTTGAACTCCTCACCTAGTGATCTGCACACCTCAGCCTCCCAAAGTGCTGGGATTACAGATGTTAGCCCCCACGCTGGGCCATTTCTTTGTTTTTAAATGGACAAATTCTAATTGTACATGTCCCTGGAGTAATAGCGATGTTTTGATACCTATAATGTAGAGTGATCAGGGTGATTAGTAGATCTATCATCTCAAACATTCATCATTCCTTTATGTTGGGAACATTCAATCTCAATTTCCATCGTCCTCCTAGCAGCTTGAAATGATGTATTATTAACTTTAGTTCTGTAGTGGCATAGAACACTAAAATTTATTCCTTCTGTCCAGTTGTCATTTTATATCCTTTAACAAATCTTTCTCTATCCCTGCCTACCCACTACCCTTCTCAGCCTCTAGTATTCTCTGTTCTACCTTTTACTTCTAAGAGGTCAACTTTTTTTCTTTTTCTTTGTTTTTTTGAGAAAGAGTCTTGCTCTGTCTCTCAGGTTAACTTTTTTTTTTTTCAGTGCTTCCACATATGAGTGAGAATGTGCATGTTTATGTTCCTGGCTTATTCCACTGAACTCATGTCCTGGATTTCCATCCATGTTGCCTCAGGTGACAGGATTTCATTCTGTTCTTTGAATAGTATTCCTTTGTGTGTATAAATCACATTTTCTTTATCCACTTACCTGTTGTTGGACATCTAGGTTGATTCCCTATTTTCGCTGTTGAAAATAGTGAGTAAAGGGTTGTAGATGTCTCTCCAGTGATGATTTTCTTTCCTTTGGATAAATTCCCAGTAGTGGGATTGCTGGATGATGTGGTAGTTCTATTTGTATCTTTTTGATTCATTTTGTTTTTTGAGATGGAGTCTTGCTCTGTCACCCATGCTGGAGTACAGTGGTGTGATCTCGGCTCACTGCAATCTTTGCCTCCTGGGTTCAAGCGATTCTCCTGCCTCAGCCTCTTGAGTAGCTGGGATTACAGGCACACACCTGTATTTTTGTATTTTTTGTATTTTTGTATTCTTAGTAGAGACAGCGTTTCACAATGTTGGTCAGGCTGGTCTAGGACTCCTGACCTTGTGGTCCACCTACCATGGCCTCCCAAAGTCCTGGGATTACAGGCATGAGGCACTATGTCCAACTCATGACACAGGACCTCAATACTGTTCTCTCTATTAGCTGTGTTAGTTTGCATTTGCACCAACAGTGTATGAGTTCCCTTTTCTCTGCATCCTTGCCAGCATCTATTTTTGTCTTTTTGATGATATCTGTCCTAAACAGGGAGAAGTGATACCTCATTGCAATTTTGATTTGCATTTCCCAGATCATTAGTGATGAGTGTGTTTCATATATATTTTTTATTTTTTTATTTTTAAAAATATTTTTTAGAGACTGGATCTTGCTATGTTGCCCAGGCTGAAATGCAGTGGCTCTTCACAGGTGCAGTCCCACTGCCGATCAGCATGTGAGTTTTGACCTGCTCCATTTCCGACCTGGGCAGGTTCACCCCTCCTTAGGCAACCTGGTGGTTCCCTGCTCCTGGGAGGTCACCGTATTGATGCCGAACTTACTGCAGACACCTGATCAGCATAGCGCACTACAGCTCAACACTCCTGGGCTCAAGCAATCCTCCCACCTCAGCCTCCCAAGTATCTGGGACTACAGGCACGTGCCAGCGTACCCGGCTTTGGCTGTCTTTGTGTTGTCTTTTGAAAAACACCTGTTCAAGTCGTTTGACATTTTTAAATTGGAGTTTTTGAGGGTTTCTTTGTTGTTGAAATATTTCAGTTGCTTGTATATTGTATTCTGGCTTTTTTTTTTTTTTGAGATGGAGTTGCTCTGTTGCCCAGGCTGGAGTGCAATGCATGATCTCGGCTCACTGAAACCTCTGCCTCCCAAGTTCAAGCAGTTCTCCTGCCTCAGCCTCCCAAGTAGCTGGGATTATAGGTGTGTGCCACCACACCCAGCTAAGTTTTGTATTTTTAGTAGTGATGGGTTTTTGCCATGTTGGCTAGCCTGGTCTCAAACTCCTGACCTCAAGTGATCTGCCCACCTTGGCCTCCCAAAGTGCTGGAATTACAGGTGTGACCACCACATCCAGCCTCTTCCTTGATTCTTGACATTTTCCTTACACTGTTACTGAGTAGGTTCTACATCAGAAAAAGATGTATAAACCAGGTATGGTGGCTCAGTCCTATAATGCCAGCACTTTGGGAGGCCAAAGCAGGAGGATTCCTTGAGCTCAGCACTTTGAGAACAGCCTGGGTAACGTGGGAAAACCCCGCCTCTACAAAAATACAAAAATTAGCTGGCTGTGGTGCATGCCTGTAGTCCCAATTACTCTTGAAGGCTGAGGTGGGAGGATCACTTGAGCCTTAGAGGTCGAGACTGCAGTGAGCCTTGATTGTGCCACAGCACTTCAGCCTCAGCAACAGTGTGAGACCCTTTCTAAAAAAAGGAAAAAAAAAATAGAACGTGGCCCTAAGGAAATATCAAATTGATGTGTAAAAGAAGCTTTTCATTGTTCAAACCATATTGCTAAGTGAGAAAAGCAAAGTACAGATTTGTATAGAATCTATGACTTTTTTTTCTTATAAGATGGAAAAACTTGTATAATAATGTAATTGACCACAGGACACACAGAATAATGAGCAAAGGGAAGACACAATTCTTTTTTTTTGAGACAGAGTTTCGCTCTTGTTACCCAGGCTGGAGTGCAATGGCACGATCTCAGCTCACCGCAACCTCCGCCTCCTGGGTTCAGGCAATTCTCCTGCCTCAGCCTCCTGAGTAGCTGGGATTACAGGCACATGCCACCAGGCCCAGCTAATTTTTTGTATATTTTTTAGTAAAGACAGGGTTTCACCATGTTGACCAGGATGGTCTCGATCTCTTGACCTTGTGATCCACCCGCCTCGGCCTCCCAAAGTGCTGGGATTACAGGCTTGAGCCACCGTGCCCAGCCGGGAAGACACAATTGTATGAGGATAATACTATACTGCAAATTTCACCTTCTGTTTTTACTTATACATTAAATTATTTAGAGACAGGGTCACCGGGCACGGTGGCTCACACCTATAATTCCAGCACTTTGGGAGGCTGAGGTGGGTGGATCACGAGGTCAAGAGATCGAGACCATCCTGGTCAACATGGTGAAACCCCGTCTCTACTAAAAATACAAAAATTAGCTGGGCATGGTAGCGCGTGCCTGTAATCCCAGCTACTCGGGAGACTAAGGCAGGAGAATTGCCTGAACCCAGGAGGCGGAGGTTGCAATGAGCCGAGATCGCGCCATTGCACTCCAGCCTGGGTAACAAGAGCGAAACTCCGTCTCAAAAAAAAAGAAAAAAAGAGACAGCGTCTTATTATGCTGCACAGGCTGGCCTCAAACTCCTATGCTGGAGTGATTGTCCCTCCAAGCCTCCCAGGTAGGTGGGTGGACACAATTTCTCTCTACTTTGGTATTGTTCAGTGTCTTCAATAAAGAAAGATAATCTCATTTTAATGACACAGCCAACAAGGGGATCATTTTAATCACATGTTGTCCTTAATTCCATCTCTCTTAGACATCACTGTTAAAACTTCTGGGCAGGGTGTTATGACTCGTACCTGTTATCCTAGCACTTTGGGAGTCCGAGGTGGAGTTCATGTGACATCAGGAGTTCACAACCAGCCTGGCCAAAGTGGTGAAACCCTGTCTCTACTAAAAATTCAAAAATTATCTAGGCGTGGTCGAGGATGCCTACAATCCCAGGTACTTGGGAGGCTGAGGCAGGAGAATGAATTGCTTGAACCTGGGAGGCAAAGGTTGCAGTGAGCTGAGACAATGCCATTGTACTCCAGCCTAGGCAACAAGAGCTGTGAAACTCCATCTCAAAGAAAAAAGAAAAAAAACTTCTGTTGGCTGGGAGCGATGATGACTCACCTTTAATCCCAGTACTTTGGGAGGCTAAAGTGGGCAGATCACCTGAGACCAGTAGTTTGCGGCCAGCCTAGCCAACACGGTGAAATCCTGTCTCTGCTCAAAATACAAAAATCAGCTGGGCATGGTGGCGGGCATCTGTAATCCCAGCTACTCAGGAGGCTGAGGCTGGAGAATCACTTAAACCCGGGAAGTGGAGGTTGCAGTGAGCAGAGATCGCACCACTGCACTCCATCCTGGGCAACAAGAGCAAAACTCTGTCTCAAAAAAAATAATAATTAAAATTTAAAAACTATCTGGGCATGGTGGCGTGTGCCTGTAATCCTAGCTACTTTGGGAGGCTGAGGCAGTAGAATTGCTTGAACCCAGAAGGCGGAGGATGCAGTGAGCATCCAGCATGGGTGACAGAGTGACAGAGTGGGACTTCATCTCAAAAAAAAAAAAACAAAAACTGTGAAGTTTAAAAACTTCATTATCCACTAATGTTTCAATAGAGCTATTTCTGTTACCACGTATCATTTATTAGTCATTGGTATTAAGTTTCTGTAACTTGCATTTCACCACTTTTTCTGGTGTCACATTAGTTCATGTTGAACACTCCCTGCTTTCACAAGAGAAACAAATGATAAGCACTTCCCAGGAAAGATATGAGCTCAGTCATTTAACATAATGCCCAATGTCTCCAGGTGAGAGCATCACCACCATTTCCAATACCAAGCTGAGATTTCTCTCATTGTTCTTTACCTGAGGCTGATTCCTGATTTCAAGTTCCTAAAATGGGTTGAAAATATAATAAGTTACAATGCCAAGTAAGGGATATTACATGAATAAATGTTTTGCTCAATGAGTCGGACACAATTATTGACTTAATAGGCAGGACAGTTGTTTTTCTGTGGGAAGGACAGAGATTCACCTTCGTACTCTTGCTTTAACTAGGCACATCTCTATCTTCCTTGGCATGGTCCTAGCTGGATGAGTTCCCTTTTGTCCCTTGTAGTCTGAGAAACCAACTTTAATGCCTCAGAGTGAGGCAGGAGAATAGGGCATTAGGGTAACCAAGGATGAAGGCATGAGCAAAAGAACAGCAGGCACAGCCCGTTCTAGGCAAGATTAGGTATCACACTGGCCACATCCTCACTCCTGTGATAAGATAGACGTCTCCACTTCAACCTCTGATTCATCGTGCACCAATTCTTAGGATTGGAGGCCTTTAAAGAACTCTTGGTATATTACAAAATTCTAGCTTATTAATGGCAAAAACCGCAATTGCTTTTGCACCAATCTAATAAAATCCTAAAAAAACGTGTAATCGGGCCAGGCTAGTCTCAAACTCCTGACCTCAGGTGATCCTCCTGCCTCGGCCTCCAGAAGTGCTGGAATTACAGGCGCGAGCCACCACGCGCGGCCCAAAAGTGTGATTTAATATTTTTGCAAACACTTGGGTGGTCAGTTACAAACAGGGATTCCCCAGGAATCTCAATATGGCCTCTAAGGAGGGGCGAGACCATCCTCTGCGCTAGAAGGATGCGCGCTCCTTTTTGTTTTTTGTTTTTTTCTTTTTTTTTTTTGAGATGGAGTTTCGCTCTTGTTACCCAGGCTGGAGTGCAATGGCGCGATCTCGGCTCACCGCAATCTCTGCCTCCTGGGTTCAGGCAACTCTCCTGCCTCAGCCTCCCGAGTAGCCGGGATTACAGGCACGTGCCACCACGCCCAGCTAATTTTTTGTATTTTTTTTTTTTTTTAGTAGAGACGGGGTTTCACCACGTTGACCGGGATGGTCTCGATCTCTTAACCTCGTGATCCACCCGCCTCGGCCTCCCAGAGTGCTTGGATTACAGGCGTGGGCCACCGCGCCCAGCCAGGATGCGTGGTTTAATGAACCCCGGAGGTGGAATTGGGACTCCCCTGCAGAAGCGCCTGTAGGAAGCGACAGCTTTACTGCTTTGGAACCTGGAGAACTGCATTACCCAGGATGCTCTGCATTGAGTGACAGCGCGGGAGAACCAGTGAGGGCTCAGAATAAGGGTGTTTCTGTGTGCGCACGTAACGTAGAGGCGGGACTTTGGCGTCTTCTAGCAGCGGCCATTGTGGCTAACGTTGGGTGTCTGCGAGGTCTGTGAGGTGAGAGGCCCTGGAGCCGTGGGTCCGAACCGCGGTGTCTGAACCCAGCAGGTGGAGAGGAGCCCTTCTCGCTGCACTGAGGCGGATCTTAAGCCCCGTAACGGCGCCCGCCGCTCCCGGCCGTGCTTTCCCCACGCACTCGGATGGCGGCGGCCGCACTGAGGCTCCCGGCTCAGGTAATTGCGGCGCCTCACCTGCCCTAAGGTCACTTCATTGCTAACCCGAGTCCTAAAGCAGCGAGGGAGCGGCACCTGCTCTCAGGTGTGCAGGCCGGACCCGGCGTCAGGACACTCAGTCGCTCGCGGGAGAGGTCGCCGTCTCTGACCCCGTGGGATGCGCGTGGGGAGAGCGACCGGCGCGGGCAATGGCTGGAGATGGACGGGGCCGGGAGGGTGGAACCTGGGGTCCACAGGCGCCTGTAGGGAGCGATCCTCCTGTGGACGGGGCCGGGAGGGTGGAACCTGGGGTCCACAGGGGCCTGTAGGGAACGATCCTCCTGAAAGAGCAGGCTGGTGGCCGTGTATTCACCGTGAAGACCTAGAAGCCAGGGAGAGTTTCGAAAGGAGGAGGGACGTGATCCAAGTTCAGACTTTTAAGGTTTTCCAAAGGCCAAAAGAAGATGGTAGGGGTCCAAAGGAGCTCCCGCCGGAGGTCGTGGCGCTTGCGAAGGCGAGGTCATGAGTTCAAGGCTAACCTGAGCAACCTCATAAGCTCAAACTGATTGGCAAAAAAAAAAAAAAAAAAAAAAAAAGAAGAATATGGTAGAGAGGGGATGAGGACCTTGGGGTTCTGGGAGGCTGAATCCTTGTTGGTAGATCGCAAAGGTGGTAGAGATGACATTTTTCACTGAGACACGCAGGTCAGACAGCCAGCATGAGGTCACCTGGTTCCAGGGATCTGAAAACGTTCATGGAGGCCGGGCGCGGTGGCTCACGTCTGTAATCTCAGCACTTTGGGAGGCCAAGGCGGGCGGATCACCAGATCAAGAGATCGAGATCATCCTGGCCAACATGGTGAAAACCCGACTCTACTAAAAAAAATGCAAAAGTTAGCTGGGTGTGGTGGCGCGAGCCTATAGTTCCAGCTACTTGGGAGGCTGAGGCAGGAGAACTGCTTGTTGAACCCGGGAGGCGGAGGTTGCAGTGAGCGGAGATTGGGCCACTGCACTCCAGCCTGGCACCTGGGGACAGAGCGAGACTCTATCGAAAAGAAAAGAAAAGAAAAGAAAGGGTTCATGGAGACCAGAGCTTATCAGATCCTCTAATGTCTGCCTTCCCCTCAGGCACTCCTGGATGCAGAAGCCCTTAAAGAACCCACCCACTGGTGGGTGCAGTGGCTGCCTGTAATCCCAGCACTTTGGGAGGAGGAGATGGTCAACATAATGAACCCCCGTCTCTACTAAAAATACAAAAACAAACAAACAAACAAACAAACAAACAAAAAACACGGACCTGATGACAGGCGCCTGTAATCCCACCTACTCGGGAGGCTGAGGCAGGAGAATGGCTGGAACCCGGGAGGCAGAGGTTGCATGAGCCGTGATAGCGCCATTGCACATTAGCCCAGGTGACAATGTTGGATTCCGTCTCAAAAAAAAAAACAAAAAACCCACAGAGGGAGGTGGAGGGTGTTCCATTTCCTTACTGGCCTTATCCCCATTCACTTGTTCTCTAGCTTGTGATGTCCTGGGACTCTAAGTGCCATTGTTTTTTCAGTCCTTTGATTTGAGAACACTGGAGAAACCCTAAACTCAGAATCCTAAGAACATGACACAGAGTGTATGGAGGTATTTCCATTTCTGTCAACCCATGTAAACATACTTTGAAGGTTAACTACCACGAGTTAGTACCAGGTCTTGAAATGCCTAGAGGTAAAAATGATCGGTTGAAAGGCAGGGGAGGGGGCGGGGAGGTGATGTTACCAAGTCCCGTTTGTTTGCAGGCATCATCTGGCTCCAAAGAAGAGAACACACTGTTTCAGGGAGGAGGAAAGAGGATCAGAGTTTAAGCTCCTGCAACAATGCAGGTGAGAGTTAATGGACCATATTAATGGTTTTTTTTTTTTTTTGAGACGGAGTTTCGCTCTTGTTTACCCAGGCTGGAGTGTAATAGCGCGATCTCGGTTCACCGCAACCTCCGCCTCCTGGGTTCAGGCAATTCTCCTGCCTCAGCCTCCCGAGTAGCTGGGATTACAGGCACGTGCCACCGTGCCCAGCTAACTTTTTGTATTTGTTGTAGAGACAGGGTTTCACCATGTTGACCAGGATGGTCTCGATCTCTTGACCTCGTGATCCACCCGCCTCCCAAAGTGCTGGGATTACAGGCGTGAGCCACCGCACCCGGCCGGACTGTATTAATGTTTAAGGAGCTGTGTCTGGATTCGACATTGACAGTTTGTAAGTGGCAACTAGATTTTCTAATGGACTGTGAGGGTGTGAAAGGGGAATCAGGTATGACTACAAGGTTTTTGGTGTTAGCAGCTGTAGTGATGGAAGCTGCATCAACTTGAGATGTGCACATAGTTGGTAGGTATAATATTCATCGGGGATATGAAAACTCATTTTGGCCTTGTTAAGAGTCTGAGGTAGTTTAGCTTCCATTATGACATTGACACACTTCATATTATCATGGTAACTCTTTTGGGGGGCCAGGAAGGGACGGCTGGAGGCCAAGGACTGAGTTTCTCTCTTAGGTTCCTGGCTGATATTGCCACAGGAGAAAAAGGTAGGGTCTCATGAAGGTAGGGTATATCAGACACCATGGTTTGTCAGGGGACATAAGCTTCCAGGGGTAGAATAGATGTGAGATGTAAGCAGAAGCACAGAAATAATTGAAGGAAGATGACACTTGGGCCAAGCCTGGTACTTACTCATCACTCTGTGGACTCACCAAGATTTTGAGATAACTTTGCTGGTGCTTGGGGGTTTTCATTCAGCCTGGTGGATATGGTCAGGTTAAATTTGTTTATCTGTGACAGACACTAGGCCTGGGATGGATGATTGATGGCCTGGGATTTTATTTTATTTTTTTCTTTTTGTTTTCACTTTTCTTAGACCATTGTTCGTAACAAGGGACTGGGATTTAAATGACTCTCGGTGGACAGAGGAAAGTCATCATTGTAGAGGGGTCAGCAAGTGCATCACAGAAGTGGAATAGGACTGTGGGTATCTAAAGCCACAACTGGTTCTCTGGTGGTATCTCCATACCATGCAAGGAGGCCTTCATAGAATGACTTGGGACTGCTTTGCTATTGGGAACCATGGGAATTCTGTGGTAATACCGGATCCTTCATGAATTTGCCAAGCATACTCTGAATTCTGTCAGCCATGTTGTAAGGCCCAAAATGAAATCCCAATGTGATGTGCCGCCTTGATGTGTGGTGATACTGTACAACCTCAAGTGGTCTGAGCACAAATCCCCTTCCCACTCTGCTCTGTTGGATAATGTGTCCTGGCCTAACAACCCTTTTCATCAAGGGATCAGACACAGTTTTTGGTTATTATACTTTGCGCTGGGTTTCAATTCCATTCCTACTCAGAATTAATAAAACAAGTCAATGGCACCCTCTTGAGAAATCAAGGGCTACCACACTCTCTTCGTCTTACAAAGTGTGAATAACACAGTCTCTGTTTCCCTCTGTTACTTGTACTGCAACCCCCATGTGCCCTCTTTGCCAGGGTATGAGTTACTTGATTTTGAAATTGCTGTCGATGGCATCTGTACAGTCTAAGATGTCAGTTGTTTCCCCAACACTATAACCTTAAGGAGAGAATCCCACTCAGAGCAGTAGAAGGGAAAGAAGGGGATTAACATACTGTAAGTTGTTGGCCAGGCTTGTGCTCATGCTGTAATTCTGGCACTTTGGGAGGCTGAGGTGGGAGTATTGCTTGAGGCCAGGAGTTTACATCAGCCCAGGCAGCATAGCAAGAACCCATCTCTTAAAATAAAGTGGTTGATGTTGCACATACATATAATCTTATCTCCTCAGAAAGCTGAAGCCTGGCAGTCACTTGAACCAAGGGATTTGAAGTTGCTAGAACCTGTGGGGTAACCAAGGGAGAACCTGACTAAAATAAACCAAAACTGGGCTGGGCGCGGTGGCTCATGCCTATAATCCCAGCAGTTTGGGAGGCCGAGGCGGGTGGATTACGAGGTCAAGAGATAGAGACCATCCTGGCCAGCATGGTGAAACTCTGTCTCTACTAAAAATACAAAATTTAGCTAGGCGTGGTGGTACACGACTGTAATCCCAGCTACTCGGATGGCTGAGGCAGGAGAATTGCTTTACGAAAAAACCAGGAGGCGAAGGTGGTAGTGAGCCAAGATTGCACCACTGCGCTCTTGCCTGGCAACAGAGCGAGACTCTGTCTTAAAAAAAAAAAAAAAAAAAAAAAAAACTGGCTGGGTGTGGCAGCTCATGCCTGTAATCCCAGCACTTTGGGAGGCTGAGGCGGGCGGATCGTCTGAGGTTAGGCGTTCAAGACCAGCCTGACCAATATGGAGAAACTCTGTCTCTACTAAAATTACAAACTCAGCTGGGCATGGTGGCACATCCTGTAATCCCAGCTAATTAGGAGGCTGAGGCAGGAGAATTGCTTGAACTCAGGAGGCAGAGGTTGTAGTGAGCTGAGACTGCGCCATTGCGCTCTAGCCTGGGCAACAAGAGGGAAACTCCATCTCAAAAAAAAAAAAAGCTGGATGTGGTGGCTCACGCCTGTAATCCCAGCACTTTGGCAGGCCGAGGCAGGCAGATCACAAAGTCTGGAGATTGAGACCATCCTGGCTAACATGGTGAAACCCCTTCTCTACTAAAAATATAAAAAATTAGCCAGGTGTGGTGGCATGTGCCTGTAGTCCCAGCTACTTAGGAGGCTGAGGCAGGAGAATCGCTTGAACCCAGGAGGCAGAGGTTGCAGTGAGCCAAGATTGCGCCACTACACTCCAGCCTTGATGACAGAGCGAGACTCTGTCTCAAAAAAAAAAAACCATAATTTGTGTTAATGTTCAAAAGAGGCTGATGGTTGGGGGATGTCACCTTGGGGTGGCCATGACATGTGCCTGTGTCGTTTAAAGAATGATGTGTAAGGCTGGGCATGGTGGCTCACGCCTATAATCCCAATACTCTGGGAGGCTGAGGCAGGTGGATCACCTGAGATCAGGAGTTTGAGACCAGCCCAGCCAATGTGGTGAAACTGCATTTCTACCAAAAATACAGAAATTAGCCAGGTATGATGGCAGGGGCTTGTAATCCCAGCTACTTGGGAGGCTGAGGCCGGAGGTTGCAGTGAGCCAAGATCACACCACTGCACTCCAGCCTCAGGAAAAAAAAAAAGAGTATGTGTATTTAGAGAGGGAGTATGTCTGATGGACCCAGGCAACTGCACTGGGCTTTATGTGAACTTGGATATACCAGAGGTGTTGGCTTTTATGGTAAGAGCATAGATCCCTGTTTTTCCCCTACTTCTTACTTGCTTATGGCTATACTGAGTGATCAGTGGTCCCACAAAGAGACAAAAGCACCAGTGGACCTGTTTTATCCTCTGTGCTGAGGATCTTGGGAGGAGGATGGGCAAGTGGGGGTATGTTGGAGAGGTGGATTGTAGTACCTCAGCATAGGAACTGTTTGTGGTTTCATCTGTCACCATCACAGCAGGGCACTGTGACATTTGAAGATGTGGCTGTGAACTTCTCCCGGGAGGAATGGAGTCTTCTTAGTGAGGTTCAGAGATGCCTTTACCATGATGTGATGCTGGAGAACTGGGTACTTACATCCTCCCTGGGTAAGTCCTTCACACCCTTTCCTATTTCCTGAATAAGTCTCTGCCCTTTCCCTTTCTACCGTTGGCAAGACTGACTGTCTCCTGTCAAGACCATGGGCACAGCTTTCTTCTCCACCTCTCTGGATAGGTTTTGTGGTTGGTAGGTCTGAGGTATGTGTACTGCCCTCCCTCCTTGAGGGGCTCCAATACCTTCTTTGCTGCAGACTCTCAGGGAAGAAGTCAGAGTCAAGAGTCTTGTAGTCAGTCTGATGCATTTCGCCTTGCTTGTCCCCTCGTTGTTTGGCTTTGTCCATATCTGAGACCCCTTTGTGTCCAGGTTCTACCTCCTTCCTTTAGCTGACATTGCTTTATGCCTGCTTGTAGCAGAAGTTGTCATCACTCACATTGTCACTGCCTACATAGACCAAAGGTAAGACCCTTTTTGGAAATTCTGCCTTTAGTAATTAGTTTCCTTTCCTGTGTGTTGTCATGTTTTGAGCCACTGTTGGCTCAAAAACTATCCAGCACATATTCGCAGGAGGAAGAGGATAGGGAGTCCAGTGATGTGGCCTTTGTGACCAGCCAGCATTTCAATTTAATCAGGTGGAAATGGCCTTCCTGGCTCATCAATATTTGCTGCCAGAGGCTAGTTGTCCCACTTCTGCCCTGTCTTTCCCTTAGTACTTATGTCATCCGGTTTCCATGTACTTCATCATCTTGGTAGTGGGGTGGAGAGTCCTCAGTGCTACAGCAGATGCAGTTGAATCCAGGCTCAGCCTCATGTTGTCAGAGGGAGCTTGTCACTGAGGAGTGGCACCTGGTGGGAGGGCATGAAGCTGGGATTTTATTCAAATCATACCAGACACCTATTATATTTGATTAGTATTTTTGTGGACAGTAGGCACTCACTATTTCTGTCTTCTCCATTCTCGAGAGCATCAAACTTGTCAGTTGTACACCTTGTCACTTGTACTCTGATATCCATCCCCCAACGAATATTCAAGTCTCTGGACTCCACATCTCACCCATTTATTTTCTCATGTTTCCTTCTGGAGTGTTCTCCAAAAGTGGCATACACATTGTGTATTAATAAGTGTGTACACATTGTTAAACTGTTGTCTTGTAATTATTTTATTAGGCCTGGACATATCCTTCTATATAGCATTAACATGTCATGAGGTAATTTCCTGCAGAGAAGTGGTTTGCAAAGGAAACAGTTGTATACCAGGCACCTTGGCTTACACTTGTAAACCCAGCACTTTGGGAGGCTGCTGTGGGCAGATTTCTAGAACCCAGGAGTTCAAGACCAGTTTGGGCAACATGACGAAACCCCATCTCTACAAAAAGCTAGGCATGTTGGCGTGCACCTGTGGTTCTAGCTACTGTGGTGGCTGAGGTGGGAGGATCATCTGAGCCCAGGAGGCAGAGACTGTGCCACTGCACTCCATGCTCGGTGACAGTGAGACCCTGGCTCTATTCTCTGTGTTGCATGTATGCTTCTGCCCTTCATATTATATAAAGGTCACAGAGGCCTCCTGCATTCTATGACCTTTGTAGCCTAGTAATGACAGCCTCATCTTCCACGTGATGCCAACATTCTGTTTCTGAAAATATTTCCGTGGAGTAAATCCTCAGTTTGTCAGGCACACTTGTGGGTGGGCTGTGCGTTCCCACCAGAGTTAACTTGAATTCTTTTCTTGCTTTCAGGTTGTTGGTGTGAATCAGAATATGAGGAGGCACCTTCTAAGCAGAACATTTCTATACAAAGAGTGTCTCCGGTCAGCACTCCTAGAGCAGGTGTGTCTCTCAAGAAGGCTCACCCCTGTGAAATGTGTGGTGCAATCTTGGGGGACATTTTGCACTTGGCAGATCATCAGGGAACACATCACAAGCAGAAACTGCACAGGTGTGAGGCATGGGGGAATCAATTCTATGATAGTTCAAACCGTCAGCACCAGAATCAGTACCTTGGAGAGAAACCCTATAGAAGCAGTGTTGAGGAAGCGCTGTTTGTGAGGAGGTGTAAGTTCCATGTTTCAGAGGAATCATCTGTCTTCAGTCAGAGTGGGAAGGACTTTTTGCCCAGCTCAGGATTACTTCAGCAGGAGGCCACTCACACTGGGGAGAAGTCAGACAGTAAAACCGAGTGTGTGGCTCCCTTTCAGAGGGAAAAAACTCATTATAGCTGTGGAGAATTCATGAAACTTTCTAGCACCAAACACAGACTTGTTCAACAGCAGAGACTTCTCCCTAGAGAAGGGTGTTACTGCTGTGAATGTGGGAAGTCCTTTAGCAAACCTGATAGCTTCAGTAATCGTCAGAGAGGTCACACTGGGAATAGACCTTACGAATGTGGAGGATGTGGGAAATCTTTTAGTCATAAGGGCAGCCTTGTTCAGCATCAGCGAGTTCACACTGGAGAAAGACCTTATGAGTGTGAAGAATGTGGGAAATGTTTTACTCAAAAGGGCAACCTCATTCAGCATCAGCGAGGTCACACTAGTGAAAGACCTTATGAGTGTGAAGAATGTGGAAAATGTTTTAGTCAAAAGGGCACCCTCACTGAACATCATCGAGTTCACACTAGAGAAAGACCTTATGAGTGTGGAGAATGTGGGAAATCTTTTAGTCATAAGGGCAGCCTTGTTCAGCATCAGCGAGTTCACACTGGAGAAAGACCTTATGAGTGTGAAGAATGTGGGAAATGTTTTACTCAAAAGGGCAACCTCATTCAGCATCAGCGAGGTCACACTAGTGAAAGACCTTATGAGTGTGAAGAATGTGGAAAATGTTTTAGTCAAAAGGGCACCCTCACTGAACATCATCGAGTTCACACTAGAGAAAGACCTTATGAGTGTGGAGAATGTGGGAAATCTTTTAGTCGAAAGGGACACCTTAGGAACCATCAGAGAGGTCACACTGGAGAAAGACCTTATGAGTGTGGAGAATGTGGGAAATCTTTTAGTCGAAAGGGCAACCTCATTCAGCATCAGCGAAGCCACAGTGGAGAAAGGCCTTACGAGTGTAGGGAGTGTAGGAAATTGTTTAGGGGCAAGTCCCACCTCACTGAACACCAGAGAGTTCACACTGGAGAAAGGCCATACGAATGTAATGAATGTGGGAAATCATTTCAGGACAGCTCTGGGTTTCGTATTCATCAGAGAGTTCACACTGGAGAAAAACCGTTTGAGTGCAGTGAATGTGGGAAGTCATTTCCTCAAAGCTGTTCCCTCCTTCGACATCGGAGAGTTCATACTGGAGAAAGGCCTTATGAGTGTGGAGAATGTGGAAAATCATTTCATCAAAGCTCTTCCCTCCTGAGACATCAGAAAACTCACACTGCCGGAAGACCCTATGAGTGTGGAGAATGCGGGAAATTCTTCTTCAGTCTCCTTGAACACAGGAGAGTTCACACTGGAGAAAGGCCTTATGAATGCAGTGAATGTGGAAAAACGTTTACTCGAAGGTCTGCGCATTTTAAACATCAGAGACTTCATACTAGAGGAAAGCCTTACGAGTGCAGCGAATGTGGGAAATCCTTTGCTGAAACCTTCAGTCTTAATGAACATAGGAGAGTTCACACTGGAGAAAGGCCTTATGAGTGCAGTGAATGTGGAAAATCATTTCATCGAAGCTCTTCTCTCCTTCGGCATCAAAGAGTTCACACTGAAAGAAGTCCTTATAAGTGAAAGAAATTTTGGAAATTCTTTAGCTAAACCTCTGCGTCTCCTTGATCAGAGTTCTTACTGAATCAAGACCTTATGAATGTGACAAATGTGGGATATTCTTTATGCAGAAGTCTTGCTTTATTACATACAGGAGAGCTTCCACTGCAGCAGTGCCTCTTGAGTACGATGAATGTAAGAAAGTGTTCAGCCGGCTGAGTGCAGTGTCTCATACCTGTAATCCCAGCACTTTGGGAGGCCGAGCAGGTGGATCACCTGAGGTCGGGAGTTTGAGACCAGCCTGACCAACATTGAGAAACCCCGTCTCTACTAAAAGTACAAAATTAGCTGGGTGAGGTGGTACATGCCTGCAATCCCAGCTATTGGGAGGCTAAGGCAGGAGAATCGCTTGAACCTGGAAGGCAGAGGTTGCAGTGAGCTGAGATTGTGCCATTGCACTCCAGCCTTGGCAAAAAGAACAAAGAAATATCCATCTCCCAAAAAAAAAAAAGATTATGTTGGAGCTGCATGGCATTTGTCACCCTGTCCTGTTCCCTTGCCAGATGTATGTGACTGCCCCCACTTATGTCTGCCACGTGGTAGGTGTTCACAGTGCGTCATTGACCGATGATGTTCTGGAAGTAAACCTGGATTGCCCTCCTCTGGCCAGAGGAATTGGTGAGTAGTCTCAGCTGTCATTCCTTTCTCATTTCTGAGGAGTGAGACCATGGATCTAAGTACTGGTCCATAGGAGTCGTCTGTCAGCTTGAAAATATGGACTGCTTTTTTCAGGGATCTTAGGGGTTTTATGTGATTCTTCAGGTATAATTTTTTTTAGCCCTTAAGTATCCAGCCAAAGAGCATTCTGCCTCCCATTGCTCTGATTTGGGCAGTGACTAAGGCCTTATTGTTTAAGCCTCCTTCAATCTTGAGAGTTGTATTTACTCTATGGGATGGTTTGGAAACAACTGTATTCTTCTGTCATAAAGGGGCAAACAGCTTTGGTTGGGATCACTAGATTTTGTGTGCCTCAGGGGACAACAGGATGACAAAACATACTGTCTCTTCACTTACGCCGTGGTTTTCATGGCTGCCCAAGGCCTCCAAAGACTCCAGAACTTAATTGTTGACTAGATAACTCCAGTAATTTCTGGGTTTATAGGTCAACCTGAGAAGGGAACAGGGTTTGTGACATCATCTGGTGCTTCTAAATTCAACATGAAATTCTTGTCTCTTTTACGCAAGGTATTGCATTCTGCTCAGTACTGCTGAGGGTGATCTGTCCCCTACGTCCTGCAGTGCAGCCATGTGCCCTGATATGCCAAGTTTCATAGGGTGGTATCCCAGGTTATGAGACCATAGCGGAATATGATAATTTATAGAATTTCTGCATTTATAGGCAGTGGAGGAGACTGCAAGAACAGAGTTGGAATACACATCTTTAAAAAGGAGATCCACAGTGATTCAGTCAGTGTATGCGGTGGACAGTCAGGTGCAGAACCTGCATAATTATGAATCTTGTGTAGCTCAGACCGTTGTCAAAGGAAATCATATTAAAGGTTTTGTGGATTCCTGTACCCTTTCTCAGCTGTTCACCTCAAGGTCATTCCCACATTGGAAGGAGGAAGAGGACAGGGAGAAGGGAGATCTCTTAGTCCAGTGATCTGGTCTTTGTGACCAATCAGTGTTCCAATTTAATCAGATGAAAATTGCCTTCCCGGCTCATCAGTATATGCTACTGAAGATACTAGGTGCCCCACTTAGGGCATGAGGAGATTTTGTATAGTTGCCAAGTGTATTCGGCAAAAATAATGGGAAATCCATGTTGTTTTTTTCCTTTTAGGACAAGATGTTGCTCTGTGACCCAGGCTGGAGTACAGTGGCGAGATCAGAGTTACTGCAGCCTCTAACTCCTCAAGCAGTCCTTTTCCCTCAGCCTCCCAAAGTGCTGGGATTAAAGGCCTGAGCCGTCATGTCCAGCCCACATTTTTCTTTCGAAGCAATTCTTTAAAGCTATAATAAGGTATAAATGACATTCAGTAAACTATACATATTTAAACTGTACCATATGGTAAGTATAGACTTTCATAGAATCCCATGAAAGTATAACTTATCCATCTCCTTCATGTTTACCTGGATCCTGTTTTATTTTTATTTTTCATTTTTAATTTTATTTCTTTATATTTTTGGAGGTGGGGTTTCACCATGTTGATTAGGCTGGTCTTGAACTCATGACCTCGTGATTCACCCACCTTGGCCTCCCAAGTTCTGGGATTACAGGCATGAGCCACCGCACCTGGCCTGTTTTTTATTTTTTCATTTTTATTTATTTATTTATTTTTCAGACGGAGTCTCACTCTGTTACCCAGGCTGGAGTACAATGGCGCGATCTTGGCTCACTGCAACCTCTGCCTCCTGGGTTCAAGCAATTCTGCCTCAGCCTCCTGAGTAGCTGGGATTACAGGTGCATGCCACCACGCCCGGCTAATTTTTATATTTTTAGTAGAGATGGGGTTTCACTATGTTGGTCAGGCTGGTCTCGAACTCCTGACCTCATTATCCACCTGCCTTGACCTCCCAAAGTGCTGGGATGACAGGTGTGAGCCACTGCACCCAGCCCATTTTTTATTTTTTAAGAGTTGGGGTCAGGGCCAGGCGTGGTGGCTCATGCCTGTAATCCAAGCACTTTGGAGGTCAAGGCAGGTGGATCACCTGAGGTTGGGAGCTCAAGACCAGCCTGACCAACATGGTGAAACCCCATCTTAACAAAGAGTTGGGGTCTCAGTTTGTCACTTGACTGGAGTGCAGCATGATCATAGCTCACTGTAACTGACATTCCTGGGCTCAAGCAATCCTCCCACTTCAGTCTCCTGAATATCTGGAACCATAGGCTTGAGCCACCATGCCTAGCTTTTATTTATTTTATTTTATTTTTTGAGACAGACTCTTACTCTGTCGCCCAGGCTGAAGTGCAGTGGCATGATCTCGGCTCACTGCAACCTCCTCCTGGGTTCAAGCGATTCTTCTGCCTCAGTCTACAGAGTGGCTGGGACCACAGGCGTGCACCACCACGTCCGGCTAATGTTTGTATTTTTACTAGAGATAGGGTTTCTTTCTTTTTTTTTTTTTTTTTTGAGAGGGAGTTTCACTCTTGTTACCCAGGCTGGAGTGCAATGGCACAATCTCGGCTCACCGCAACCTCTGCCTCCTGGGTTCAAGCAATTCTCCCGCCTCAGCCTCCCGAGTAGCTGGGATTACAGGCACGCGCCACCATGCCCAGCTAATTTTTTGTATTTTTAGTAGAGATAGGGTTTCACCATGTTGACCAGTATGGTCTCGATCTCTTGACCTCGTGATCCACCTGCCTCAGCCTCCCAAAGTGCTGAGGTAAACGGGTATTTCTTTTAAGATAAAGTGTCTATTCATGTCTGTTGCTTCACAAAAATGAACTTTTTTTTTTTTTTGAGACGGAGTTTCGCTCTTGTTACCGAGGTTGGAGTGCAATGGCGCGATCTCGGCTCACCGCAACCTCCACCTCCTGGGTTCAGGCAATTCTCCTGCCTCAGCCTCCTGAGTAGCTGTGATTACAGGCACGCGCCACCATGCGCAGCTGATTTTTTGTATTTCGAGTAGAGATGGGGTTTCACCTCGTTGACCAGGATGGTCTCAATCTTTTGACCTCGTGATCCACCCACCTCGGCCTCCTGAAGTGCTGGGATTACAGGCTTGAGCCACTGCACGTGGCCCAAAAATGAACTTCTTTGTGAAAAAAAATTTTTACGTTTCATTAAGGAATAAGGAAATAGGCTGGGCATGGCAGCTCACACCTATAATGCCAGCACTTTGGGAGGCCAAGGCAGGTGGATCATGTAAGGTTGGGAATCTGAGATCAGTTTGACTAACATGGAGGAACCCCCTCTCTACTAAAAATACAAAATTAGCTGGGCGTGGTGGTGCATGCCAGTAATCCCAGCTACTGGGGAGGCTGAGACAGGAGAATCACTTGAACCTAGGAGGCAGCAGTTGCGGTGAGCCAAGATCATGTCATTGCATTCCAGCCTGGGCAACAAGAGCTAAACTCTGTCTCAAAAAAAAAAAATCTGCCAGACGTGGTGGCTTATGCCTGTAATCCCAGCACTTTGGGAGGCCAAGACAACAGGCAGATCACCTGAGGTCAGGTGTTTGAGACCAGCCTGGCCAACATGGCAAAACCCCATCTCTACTAAAAATACAAAAATCAACCAGGCGTGGTGCATGCCTGTAATTGCACCCACTTGGGAGGCTGAGGCAGGGAGAATTGCTTGAACCCAGTAGGCAGAGGTTGCACTGAGCTGAGATCACACCACTGTACCCTGGCCTGGGCAACACAGCGAGATTCCATCTCGAAAATAAAAGAAATAAGAAAGTAGTCACCAACAAATCTTAATGTTGGCCCTCATTTATTTTGTAGTAATGTGACTTTGCCGTAAGGAATACTTGTTTTTTGTTTGTTTGTTTGTTTGTTTGAGACGGAGTTTTTGCTGTCGTTACCCAGGCTGGAGTGCAATGGCTCAATCTCGGCTCACTGCAACCTCCGCCTTCTGGGTTCAAGTAATTCTCCTGCCTCAGCCTCCTGAGTAACTGGGACTACAGGCGCGCGCCACCATGCCCGCTAATTTTTGTATTTTTAGTACAGACGGGGTTTCACCTTGTTGACCAGGATGGTCTCGATCTCTTGACCTCGTGATCCACCCGCCTTGGCCTTCCAAAGTGCTGGGATTATAGGTGTGAGCTGGTTATTGATTTTGTATAGACGAATAAGTGTCCCAGGGCGACAGTATTTATAGATTCCAGAGCAGTGAAACAGTATGATATACCATGATTTTCTTTCCATTCTTCAATATCTTCATTTTTTTTTCCAGAGTTTCACTCTTGTTGCCCAGGCTGGAGTAGCAATGGTACAATCTTGGCTCTGCAACGTCTGCCACCCAGGTTCAAGAGATTCTTCTGACTCACTCTCCCAAGTAGCTGGGATTACAGGTGCA